TTAGTGTACCCTGTTCATCCGCCCAAAGAGCGACCAGCAGGAAGCACGAGTGCTGTTGAAACGACAGCTCAAGAGAATGGAAACACTGAACAACTTCTAGCCTTGGTTGAAGTTACTGATCCTGATACAGACGGACTTGATACAGTGGAGTGTCACCTTAAAGGAAGTGTCCCTGAGTATTTTCAACTTACTTCTACACCTTCCAATTCCGGAAAGGTTGAGTATTCGCTTATGACGAATGCGTGTTTGGATAGAGAGACGACTCCACGTCTTGAAATCTCTATTGTCTGCCAAGACTCAGCAAGTCACGTAAGCAAGCAGGATGTGGGTGTAAACCTTATTGATGTCAACGACAACTCTCCAAAGTTTGATAAACCCTTCTATGAGTTTTTTATTGAAGAGAACGATGGAGAAGCCGAGGTTGATGATGCCATTTCTTTACTAAATGATAAACGAGTTGTTCGAGGTCAAGATGGTGAGAACGGCGTTCATGCATGGGACATTGATGCTGGAGAGAACTCGAGAATATCCTACCGACTAGAGCCAGATCCTCGTGATCAATCTTCTGTATCATATTTCTCCATAGACCAGAATAATGGTGCTATCTATGCTGTGGTTCCGCTTGATCGTGAGGCAAAAACTTGGCACAAATTTATTGCAGTTGCCTCAGATCACGGAGATCCAACTCAGTCAACAAGTGTGGAGGTGTTGGTGCATGTCGAGAACTTGAATGACAATGTACCACAATTTATTAATCAATTGGCACCAGAAGCTGGCTACTCTTTCTCTCTTGATGAAAATGAATCGCCAGGACGATTTGTGGGTCAAATCACAGCAGTCGATGCGGATGATGAGGAGACAGTGGATGGAGCTGAGGCAATCAGTTGGACACATTCAAGTGTTTTCAGAACCTCAAACAATCGACAAGGTCAGGTGTCAACAAATCGACTGATCTACACGCTGGGAAGTGAACCAGATGCTGCTGTCTTTAGGATTGACAAGCACTCAGGAAATATCACCACAAGGTTAGTCTGTCGACACATTTTATGACCTGCCTCTAAAGTGGAAGTACTACTAGTCAGGCAGATGGAGAAGTAGGGCGGCCACATTCATTCAACCATCGTGTTGTATCTTTTACCATACCGTTATAGCACCATATAATCATGCTTCGTCATCAGTAGTGAAACCGTTTTGTTTACGAATACTTTGAACTTGCTCGTTTATCGCCATACACATCCTAATTGACAGCGATTTCATTGGTCCACCCCGACTGCAGAGGTCACCTCTCTCAAAGGCAGGCCAGCTGACACACTTACTAATGCAGTCTGCAAAATTGCTCTCAAAATGCGTCAGAAGGACTTCCATTACATGTACAATTAATGGAAGAGGAAAAGATTATTATTATTCCAAAGCTGGAGGAAGAGGAGTGATTCTCACCTCACCTTTTTATTCCGTGAATGGCAATGTAGACGAAATTACACAACATTTAAGGCTTTTACATTGTTTTTCTCTTTAAAATGCTACGTTAATTTATTCAGATGAGGCGTTGAATGAACAGTACAGTAGTCTATTTTCTCACAAAATTAGATGTATTTTACCTAAACTCCCAAGTTTTATTACCCATAGACACGTCTTTTTCTTTGAGAAATGGCTTAGCCAATCCCATTTTGCCTATGAGATGATTAAGTCAAGGGGAGATTCTTAATTAAAGTACCTCTTGAGAATGGTAGATACCTTTTGCGTACTGTCAAAACCGCGGGGCAACTCCCTATCGTCCCCTCAACTCTCCTCACCCCTCCTCCACCATTTAATGGCTATCATTTAATAAGCAAGGAAAAATGAATTACTTGGTGTGAAGAGGATGACAGTGTATGTGTGTAAGTGTGTGTGTGAGAGAGTGGATTTGTGCCTTTAATGGACTTCGTGATTGCCTTGAATCTACTCCGTATGCCCACGTCAATAAGACAAAAGATGGAAGATAAGTAGAGAATGGACTGTTTGGGATAAAATGAATGATTGGTAATAAACAGTGATGGACAGATCACTCCTCATTCATCAAGGCGTCCCTTGTCTCTTACTTCCTATAAATTATTTCTAATTTGTTGGACTTTCTGCGTCATTACTTGGGTAAATATGGCGTGTCTGGGAAGTGAAACAAATGCTTTTTTTATTGTTTGCTACGCAAAGTAAGGCAGAACAATTTAGCGCATCTGTTCTAATGAGTAATTTCGGCGATTGTTTAGCGTGGATAACAAAGGCGTGAAAATAAAGTCGTAAAATGACGCTTGCATGGAGGAAGAATGGAGCTATGAAAGTATGGTAGGCCGTCTAAGCAGGGATGCAGGATCGGACTGTGGTGGCAAAGCCGCGTTTTGAGGAACTGGTAGGTTTCCATGAGGCCTCACCTCATTATACACCCAAGGTGGTGCAAGTATGGGGTCGAACCACAGACAGAGGTGGGTTAGTCGACGCATTCCAACTTTGTTTAACTATTGCGTCCGCCACAATCGAAGTACCAACGCTCTCTCTCCCGTCCGCGGCATGTAAATGGGAGAACAGATGCTGGCGTACGGTGTGTCGTGCATTGCGTTTTGGTGGGTGTTAAATTCCTTCAATAACTTAGTGGCATTGATAAATGCTCCGCTTCGGGTTGTGGAATGCCCTCATCCTCCTCTTCCCCATCCCATTCTGCATCTTCTGTCACCTTCGGCGTCTGTACAGGCAGTTAGGGTAGGCGTAGAGGGAGGGCCGTCAAACCCTGGGCACTATTACCAATGAATGGCCTCAATAAAATTGGTGCGCGATTATTCCTGAAATACATCTGTTTTAACGGCAATGGCGGTGCTGGTTCCACCAATGTTGGCTGTGCATGTGGCACAGTGACGCCACTCGACGTTTCACTGCATTAAAGTGGGCAAGAGAGGAATGCATAAACAAATCTTTACAACTCGCTTAAAGTGGCTAATTCACTCACCATCAACAGATTTGCTACTCAGATTGTGCACACCTCTGTAAGATGTTGTCCTCATCACCTCCCTGATAATTACCGCCTGTTTTGTAAACAAATTTGAATATTTATGACAATAAAAAAAAAAGTGAAGAACAATCTTGGCTTAAGGCGAGAGGAGAGGGAGGACTTAAGAGTTCACTTTTGTGTTGGATAGTAAAACCTGCAGTAACGTGCGATAGTGGTGGTGCCCACGACCATGAAATTCATTGTGCCGACCGAGTTGCCTTACAACTCCATCTGGTCCATTTAAATGAGTCACTGTCACTCCGACAACGTGGACATTTGATGAGATCACACATTGCTTGTGTACAAGTGGCATCATTTGGATTCATTATAGGGCAAAATACACTTTTTTTTTTCAATAATTTGTGGTCAATAAAGTTGTTCAACTTTCTCATACTTGCTGGTTATCTAATTTTTGTTGATAAAGTCCTTTTTTTGCACTTTTTTCTCTCATATTTAAAAGTGGTCCTCTGCTACTCTCACAGCTTGACAGAGCCCCAAAAGTGATGTTAGAAACCTTCAGACTGTCATCAAGTAAAGCTCCTTGACATTTTAACACAATTCCTTAGAAGAACTTCTTTATTTTACTAATATAGAGAGCGTTTAGACCGTGAGAAGCAAAGTACCTACACATTCCGAGTGTTTGTAAGTGATGGCTTTCTGCCCGAGGCTGCAGTGGAAGCCTCTCTAAATCAGCGTTGGACACCACCCAAAAGTCGAGTACACACAGTGGCCACCTCGGTAGTAATTAATCTACGAGATCAAAATGACAATCGTCCCACCTTCCTACAGCCCAATGCCTCAAGTCATCTCATTCTGTTGGATCCAACTGCCACACCAGGACGATCTCTAATGCAAGTGAGTTACACCGCAACCCTCCCACTATTCCACTCCACCTTTACATAAATGGAACTGAATGCAGTAGAGAGTCATCGGCCTGCCCTTAAAGCTGCGGAAATCTTCTAATCTAAAAATGTCACTCCTCCAGAAGAAACCGCTTCTCTCATTCTTTATTATTTGCCAGTAGAGTGTAGTAGTTCTGCCCTGACTTAAAGGCATTCCGTCGAAAGGGGAGAGATAGGGAGTGAAGGGAGAGGTAACTTCCGGAGTGTCGTAGGTGGATTTTGCCTTGCCTTGACTGATTTGATGATAAGCTTCGGGTTGATTGAATTAATGTCTCCCTGGTCCTAATGACCATAAACCTCAGTCCAAGACAGGAAGTAACGAAGGCAAATTTGTGTTGATCTGTGCATAAGAATAGAAGGGTAGTCTCACTGTGACAGTCACTTCCGGTGCGACTAAAGGTCCGCCTTTGTGTTTATATACACCACCCAACTGTGTGTGAATCTTGAAAAAAGCCGGCAGTCTTGACTTACTACCACTTCCTTTGGTAGATAACCGAGAGTCGGTGCTGGGTCTTAACCAGTCGATGAGGCTAGCATTACCAATTTCCTCCATTTCGCGTTTAGTGCCATTTCTAAACACAAATTTTTTTTGTATCCAATTTTTGAACAGACAACTTTTATTAATGATTTATTTTCCCCTCCTCCTCCCCCCCCTCCCCCCGATGTGTTTAAGAGAGTTGCAAAACAATGAAGCAAAAGAGTTGAATCTTTTAATGTTGTCTTCCTCGCTCTCTCTACTGTCCTCTTTTATCGTTGTGTTGTTGTTAGGGGAAGCAAAAAAAACATGCCTTCTTTGGGAAAATCAAGACAAAGGACCCACAAACAAAGCGCCATTGCACAAAGAATCCTGTTCTTAAACTAGAAAGTGATTAATTTCGAGGTAATTGGTTCAATGCAGTGAAAAGGCTTTCTTGTCTCCTTAAACCAACCAGTAGAAAAATATTACCAGAATTATTAAAGTCGGAAGGAAGTTAGGAGGTTACAGAAGCACTTCAATATGCCAATTATAAATAAAAACTCTCATAAAGTTGTTTTTTTTTTTAAAGAAAAAAATGGGTAGTCTCGGTGAAGGTCAACTGCACTTTGTAAACATTCTCTGTGTGACAAAATGGATCTTATAAAAGTGTTAAAAGTGGATGTTTAGTTCTCCTCTTTTTCATAGCTTAGCAAACAGACCCGCTTCAGCATGAAACTTTTGTTATTCGGTGAGTTTGCTGCAATTGTTGGACCGATTTGTTTTCACGATGTGGTAAACATCTGCACACCTTAAAGTGGGTCACAAAATGTGTTGATCGGGTTTGTAGGACCTGCCTGCCTACCCTCAGACTCCGAAACTTCGGACTTCAAGAGAGGGTTGGTTGGAGGGGGGGATTATTTGGCAGTATTTACAGAAGGGGAGGAGATTGGATGAGACGGAAAGTCGATGTAACCCTGGAAATGTCTCTTTCCGCTTCACCTCCTCTTCACAAATTGGATTCGTATTCAAAATTGCTTTCCCGCCTCTTCCCTGTAAAGACAAATTTAAACACATTACAAGGTTTGTTTTCGGTTAGGTGATAATGGCGCTTTTAGGAATTTCTATGGACGATGAATGCACGAGACTTTACTTCCACTCGTTAAATAATCTCCTGCATTGCTCGAATTTCTTGTTCCCACCTTATGTCCAGATAATCGCCACGGATCCTGACGAAGGCGAAAATGGAAAAGTAACCTACTCTATTGTGGACGGGAATGGTGGAGGCATATTTTTTGTGGCTCCAGTGGAGGGTCTACTCTACCTGAATGGACAGATTCCACGACGTACCATTGAGAAAGCCATCTACGCCTCGTCTAGTGCTGCTGCTGCTGCTGCTGCAGCTACTGCGGCCTCTGCTAGTGGAATGAAAAAGGATGAAAGGGAGGTTGGATGGCATTCGGATGTTATAGGCACTGGTATGGTCAAGGAGGATCCCAATGAAGTGCCTTCTCATCCCACTTATGTGCTTAAGTTGGAGGCTTGTGATGCTGGAACACCCAAGCAGTGTTCCTACTTTCCCAACCTTCAAATTCAGGTGAGTCGTTAGCATCATTTAAGGCCTTATAATGGAATCCTTTTGCCAATGTGCCACTTCCTTGATGACAGGAGGGCTTTTTAGAGACAGGGGAATTTAAAACGTTCAAGAGGGTAGAACTTAAAGGTGTAGGGAAGTCTTCTTCAGGGAAGCATGTCATGATTAGTAAATGAAAGGACTTTTCTTCATTTCCTCAGTGATTAACTTCATGGAAAAGGTTGTGACTGAAGTAATCTTGTTTGTTTCCATACTCTCAAATTAAGGGATAAAATTCTAATTCCCAGCTACTTCTAGGATGTGGTGCTGTCAAAGTGAGGAGACGAGAGGTGTTCTCACAAGTAGGTGGGTAAATTAGAATACTTGAATACACTCCTCTGCCATGGGAAACGATAAAACAGACTTCTGCTTCTCTCTGACGTCGGAGTGTTGCCTACTGTCTTAGCAAGTTGGCCAAATTGCAGTGTAAAGTCAAGGCAGTGGCCGTTCTCTCGCATTTGCGAACCCTTGGAGCTGAGGGTGACAAGAGACAGTCAGCCACCATCCAGCTTGCGCAAAATGTCATGCGAATAT